CTCCGCTGCTGGATAGGCAGCATCCATATTGTCAAAATTGCCACACTGCCAGAACTGTCACCTGATCCAACGCGGCCCCAGCCAAGACACCAGCAGCACACCCTACACATCCAGACGTGGAGAGAAACTGTCGGCAGGAAAGGGAAATGCAGAGGCGCAGCAACTGATCTCTGCGTGTGAATCTTATTTGGATGCTGGCCTTTTCAAAGACAGAAAAGTCTGCATCATGAGACAAAGACAGGAACTGTCACCCTCGGCCGTCCCTCACATTTAGGTGTAATGATGGTATCCTGGCTTTTTAAGAAACCCTGGTCATTGTACCCACTCTGAAATATTCACCGACAGAAGGACTGAGGCCTGGTGACAGGAGCGAGGAACATCTGAACAGGACAGCGAGGCAGGGTCTGGGTGGTGAGGGATACCCGCCCCATGCGATAGAGAGCGTTGCCGCTTACCAGCGGGAAAGAGGCAAAAGTGTCAATAAGCAGAAGACCTGGGGAGCCCCACCTGCTTGCCAGCCGGCACCTACTTCTCAGAGGGCGTGTAAACATGTTCTGCAAGAATGCAAAGGAAGGGGTGGAGGAGAGGGACAGAAAGTCCTTAGATGACAGATTTAAACTCAAGTTCATTGGTGACTAAATAAATCATAAGCAAGAAATGCCCCAACGGAGAGGCAAGGAATTCTGACGGGGCTGGCTTTTTTGCTTCCCTGCTTGCATGCTTGCTTGCTTTCTGAGACAAGCTCTCACTATGTAGTTCAGACTGGCCTTGAATTGACAGCAGTCCTCCTGCCTCAGCCTCCCAAGTGCTGGAATTACAAGTGTGTGCCCCATGCCCAGCTTTTTAAATTTTTAATTTTTTGCCTGACTGGGCTTTAAAATAATAACCATCACACATTCTTTACTAGATATGTGCTTCAAAGTACAGGTGTAGGAAGACTGATAGTCAAAAGATGAAAAACAGCCATGCAAACAGAAGCCAAAGGAGCAAGTACAAGCACATTCATGTCAAAGTACACCTGATTGCTAATAATGCTTTGGAATTTGGGAAGGGAGTTTCATGATGACAGAAGTCTCAGCTAGGGCCCGGGATTTAGCTCAGTGGCACAGTGCCTGCCTGGCAAGTGTGAGGTCCTGAGTTTGATTCCTGGTACCCCCTAAAAAAGAAGTCTCCGCTCTCCAGGAAAATGTAGTAACTGCAAATCTATATGCACCTGATAATGTAGATTTTAAAAACATAAAGCAAAATCTGGCAGGTATGTAAGGACAAAGAGACAAAGCAATCATAAGGAGGACCTAACAAACCACTTCAAGTAGCAGAAGAAATCAAGATATATTTATAAATATACAGACATTTTAAGCAATACAATCAGTAATTTGGCCAAATTAACTTGTACAGAACCCTACCCCCAACAAAAGTAGAGTGACATAGTAAATGTAAGTACATACAATAGAGAATATATTTCTATAACACAGAATATACAGAGAATATTTATTATGGGGTGCTACTATATATTGTATAACACTGTGCAATACTGCACACCGTTACTCGATACTATACATAACACAGTGTGCAGTAGTATCCGGTAAAATATGTGTAAAATAGTGCACATACTGTTCACCTGAAACAAATTATTTACAGGCACTAACCATAGAGACAGTCACGGGAGCCGTAGGGAGAGGAAGGGACAAAGAGATGGAGCTCAGAGGGGACTTTAGGGCAGTAACACTGCTCTGCAGAAGGACAAACGTCACTGCGCCTTTGTAAAAAGCCACAGCATGAACAGCACAAACTGCTGGAGAAGCCGGAGAAGCCAGCCACAGACTTGCCCGTCAGCGCGTGACCAGCACGAACGCTGGCGCAGGGTGGCCACAGCGGAGACTGGGGCAGGGAGGGAGCCCCCGGGAGTCCTCTGTCCTTCTGATAGATTTTCCTATTTGTTTGTTTTTAGTTTAGTGCATCTGTGTAGAACCTAACGGTGACACTGTGTGTGGGGAGATGGTCCCTGCACATAACACATCCTGGTTCCCTTTTTCTTTTTTTTTCTTGAGACAGGGTCTTGCTCTGTAGCCTTGGCTGGCCTCGAACTCACAACAGTCCTCCTGCCTCAGCTCCCGAGTGCTGGGATTACAAGCATGTGCCACCACGCCTGGCCTCCCAAGTCCTTTCTCAGCCCCTTCCCTCCCCTCCCCTCCCTGCATCTCTTGGTCCCCTCCCTTTGAGAACGATCCACCCCCATACTGCCAATTATGTATCTTTTTTATTTTAAAAATTTAAAAAACTAACAAAACAACAATGAAGACAACATCAAAACAATGCAAAAACGATGCCTTACCTCAAAACAAAGTGATAGCAATGCATACCATTATCTTCAGGGAAGTTGCTCAGTCCACCAGATGTAAGAATGTAAGACTATCAAACAGTGGATGCTCTAGCAGTTCCTCAGACAAAAGACTCAGATCTAGAATATGCAAAGAACTCCAAAAGTCAGACTCCCCCCCCCCCCAAAATAAGAAACCCAATCCAAAGATGGGCGTCTGAAAGGAGCAGACACTTGAGGAAGCGCAAATGGCCAACAAGCACCTGAAGTCACGCTTAGCATAGCTGGCAGGCCGTTAGAGAGCTACAAACTGGAACAACACTGAGATTCCATCTCACCCCAGGAAGAATGGGCAACGTGAAGCAATCAAATAGTAACAAATGCTGGAGAGGCTGCAAGGAAATGCAAACTTCTACATAGCTGGTGCAAACTAGTGAAACCACTGTGGAAATCAGTATGGCGATTTCTCAAAAAACTAAAACTAAAAAAAAAAAAAAAAAACAAAAAAAAACAAACCACTAAAACTAGAAATTCCATTTAATCCAGCTATTCTCCTTCTAGGTATCTTCTGAAAGAGCTGAAGACGTCAGATTACAGTGATACATGCATATTCATATTTATAGCAGCATCATTCAAAGTAGCTAAATCTTCAACGTGGCCTGTATGTCCACCAACAAAAGACTGGGTAAAGAAAATGTAGTATTTACAAATCATAGAGGACTACTCTCCCTTAAAGAAAGAGGAACTTGAGTCATTTGTAGGAGAATGGATGTACCTTAAGACCGTAATGTTAAGTGAAATAAACCAGACACACACCGAGTGAGGTTGAACCTCCTTGGGTCGAGGGACCTGGGCCCGTGGTAAGCGGTGACACGGTGCAAAGAAGACACCGGAGACCAGGCTGATGGCACAGATCCGGTTTATTGCGGAAGTACCAGGCATTTTATTAAGCAGGCTAGAGGCGTGGTAATGGAGGCGGTCTAGGGGCGTGGTTTGGAGGCGGTACTTTTGGCCGGTCGGGGGCTGTGCAGAAGTAAGAGGTCAGAGCGGGACAGCCTAGGCAGGACGACTCACTCGATGTGCCGAGGACATGACGAGTCCGAGTGTGCTCAGACTCGCTCCTCTGCCACGGCCGTCAACCAGACCTCTGGACCTCTCTTTCCCACAACCGAGCAATTTTTCTGTAAACCTTAAGCTGCTCTGAAAACAATAAAGTGTATTAATTTTTTAATTGAACACATGCTGGACCTAAAGCACAATGGAGCAAAGAGAGTGGTCATGTTAGTGTTTTCAGGGAATAAATATTCCAGGATAATAGTGATGCCTGGGGGGTGCATTTTCTTTGTAGTCTGTCAGCTTTTGTGTGTCACGCATCAATGATATTGTGAGAAACAGACTTATCACACTTCTCTCAGCACCTAGGTGACAAATATATGAAACATGCAGACCAAAGAGTTGAGCAGAACGCTCTTGCTTGGATGGGAGTGTGTGCTCCCTAAGACATACACAGGCCTACACCCACACGCGTGTTCTGTTCTAAAATACACATGGTTGGGAGGCTGAGGCAGAAGGATCATTGTGAGTTTGAGGCCAGCCTGAGCTACAAAGTGAGTTCAAGACCAGCCTGAACTGCATAGTGAGAGCCTGTCTCAAAAAGATAAAAAATAAGTAAATAAATAAAATACACATGAGAGGGGCTGGGGATTTAGCTCAGCGGCAGCACAGCTCCTGCCTGGCAAGTGCAAGGTCGTGAGTTCAATTCCCGGTACCGGAAAAACAAAACAAAACAAAACAAAAAAGCAATACACATGAGATATTTTCCAAGATTAAACACATATTGAAATGGAGAGAAAATTTGAACTATATCCAATAAAATTACCATCTCAAAACATTGTTCCTTCACCACAATGTGATAAAATTAGGAATCAGAAAAGAAAACTTAAAATGTACTCATATGCCTGTGCCATATTTACCCAGATTTACTTTCAGAACCAGAGCCACGCCTCTGCTGTGGACTCTGCTAGGAGAATTTCCAGGGAGCGTGGAGGTTCCAGAGCTGAGCCGAGGCCCGTGGTGTTCTCAGAGGCCAAGGGACACAGGGAAGGTGCCCAGCACGGCCCAAGGCCTTGTCCTTCGGGAAGAGAGGCCAAGCCACAGATGCCGTCTTAGTGGCGTGGGGCGGGCAGGCCCGAGAGACCCCAAAGCAGGACTGCACCCTGCTGGTGGCCAGGAGCTGGAGGGCATTTTCGGTGGAAAGAAATCCTGTCAGTCAGAAACAGGGTAACTGCCAGGGCTCCTCCCTTCTGTCCTCCTGCTCGGGGTGATGTTTACTACTCTAGTAGTGCGGCAGTGCGGGGACACCCTGGCTGTGCTGCTGTACGCTGCACTGGCCTCTGGGACGCCCCGCCTGGGGACTGGCAGGCAGCACCTGAAGGTCCACTCCAGGGGCCAGTGTCTGCAGTCACTGGCAGCTCAGGAAGTGGCAATAACAGGGGCCGTCTTCTGTGTGCCCCCCAGGAGGCCACAAGCTGGGAGGTGACACGGTACAAAGCTCCCTGCCCCAGAACGCCCTACTGAGTGAGTGAATGAGGTTGAACCTCCTTGGGTCGAGGGACCTGGGCCCGTGGTAAGCAGCGACGGTGAATAAAGAGGATACCAGAGACCAGGCTGATGGCGCAGATCTAGTTTATTGCGTAAGTACCAGGCATTTTATAGAGCAGGCTAGAGGCGTGGCAATGGAGGCGGGCTAGGGGCATGGTTTAGAGGCAGTACTTTTTGGCGGGGGGCTGTGTGGAAGCAAGAGGTCAGAAAGGGACAGCCTAGGCGGGGCGAGTTACTCGGTTTGCCGAGGAGTCTGAGTTTGCTCAGACTCGTTTCTCTGCCACGGCCGTCAACCAGACTTCTGGACCTCTTTTTCCCACAAGTGAAGCCACAGAGGAGAATGCCCCGTGCAGTTCCACCGCTGAGACGCCTGGAACAGCGAAGCCAGAGTCAGTCACAGCGTGTGCCAGGCCGGGGAGGGACAGGCCCCTCCCAGATACAGAAACATCCTGAGCTGAGGTGATGGTGACACACGTGAACACATGTACTAAAAATTTTTGAACATCTCAGTGTAAGTGGCTGAACTGCACATTCCATGGATTGTGTCTTAATGAAGCTGATCTTTAAAAAGCAAAGAATTCCTCTTACCACCCCAGAAGAGGCCGGCGGGTGCCCAGGTGGGGGCACAGGAGCGGGCGGGGTGGGGAGTAGCAAACTGTCAGGTTCGGCACAAATGTCACAGGCAGCTGTGAGGGAGCAAAGAGCCCCTGGGAAGTCATTCCACAGAGTCCAGGGCGGCCAACCACTGCCCAGAGAGCCAGGGAAGGACTGGACGCTCCCCAGGGAGCGTGAGGGCTTCGAGGGCAGGCACGAGGCACCTGGTAAAAGGGCATGGGAGACAGGTGTAGGAGGCGCCCCTAAGTGGAGACCTCCCTGTGGAGACAGAAGGCGCCCCTAACCCAAACTAAGGAGCAGTGCAGCCCACGCTAAGGCCAAGCCCCATTGCGGGGCACCACTCGGACAACGGGGCAAGGGTCAGCCCCACCAGAAGCCTCAGGTCCGATTCAGCCCCAGAGAACAGCCGAGCCCCCGAGTGTTCTCGGCCCCGATGCAGGCAGCAGCAGCGTCCCCGCATCCGTCCCCCCGCCAGCCTGCCGTGCTGAGCCAGCCACACCACAAGGCAAAGAATCACAAACTTCGTAACGTTCTACGGTTAGGAAATACCACAGGAAAAAATAACCCAAAAGCCAGTTTAGAGATGTGAGACGAAGTCAATAAAAACATGAAGAAGCCTCAAATAAATCCTCCGGGTATCTTTCAGCGTCTGTGTTCAGCCCGCTGTGTCCAGCACTGGCCAATGTGGCTTCCTCTGTAGAATTAGCTACCTTCCAATGGGGCTTCACAAGGAAACGGTGGAGACATCACAGACGACACAGCAGTGAGGAACACTCAGCCCGTGCCACGGGACCAGCGTGCCTGGCGTTTTCCATGGGGAGCTCGACTATGCCAGGGCGTGTGGGCGGGGCTGGGTGGGTGAGGTGGGCAGTGTGGTCAGCATGGCTCTCCAGGCTGCAGCCAGTTTGGTCCTCCCAGGGCCTGCTCCTCACACTTGCTGGCTGCCCGGTGAGTCCCCTCTGCTCCAGCTGACCCGCCACCAGCCCTCCTTTCCCAAGACGTGGTCACCAAAACCCAGCAGCTCATCCCAGGGAGCTCACCTGAGCACAGGGCAGGTCCCTCAGCCGGCTGGGGCCACAGCGGAACATGTGACTGGCCACAGGGGAGGCCAGAGGGACTCTGGTCTAGAAAGGCCTGGTGGGCCCAAGCCAAGGATACAACACCCACTTTACAGATGCGGAAACAGGCTCCAGGAGCAGGGCCTCTGGCCAGCATGCCCCTTCCTCAGGGCACAGCTGCTCCACACACACACTGCCAAGGCCGGGAAGCGCTCTGGTCCTCAGCTGCGGCCCAGAGCCCTCAGCCCCACAGGTGCTCTGCACACCTTGCACACGTGGGAAGCAGCCACACCAGAGGAGAGGGGAGCAGAACCCCCAAGGATCACAGAGGGTGGTCTCCATCTCCAAGCTCCGCTGGGTGCAATCTCCCTAAACGCCAGTAGGTGGCAGCATCAGCCTGAAAACGCTGCCCCTCCCTGCAAGGTGGGTTTACCTTCAGCAGAATTTTGACTGGTAGTCCAGCCCTGGAACAGCAGGTGGCCTTCCACTGGTGTCCTTCAGGGGCCTATCTAGAGCCCTGCCCTTGTCCCCGGTCCCTTGCCTCTAGCCCTTCTGAGCTGGAGGCTGGAAGGAAAAGTTCTTGATTAACTGGGCCAAAGCTCCACTCCTGGCTGGCGACCACAGACACCCCAAAGCCCAGGCCCGACTTTGAAACGCCTGGTTTTGCTATAAGCCCCACCCCTGTGGTGCCGTGCATAGCCAGGGCTGGAAACCCGGTTCTGAAAAAGGCTTGGGACTCCTATCACCGGCACCTGCGCGACCTCAGCAGGGACCTCTGGGGCCCTCATCCTCAACCCAGGCGCAGGCCACATCCCCCCAAGCAGGCCTGTGCAGGGGAACCCCACCGGAACTGACACCCAACCTCCTCATGCGCTGGGGCATTCCCAGCGGGGCAGACTGGAGCCCCGGCCCTTGCCCCTTCGAGAGGACTGAGGAGGTGTTGGTCACCAGGGAGGTGGGAGGAGCCCAGCTCCTCAGTTCTGACAGGAGGGGACCCGCCCCTTCCCTGGTCAAAATGCTGGGCCCTGCTCAGCCCTAAGGAACTCCACCTGTCCTGAGCCTGGGAACCTCAGACAGGTCGGGATCGCTTCCAGTCTCCACTGCCCAGCACCGGGGCTTGAGCTTGGCCGGCCCTTCGCCCTCTGAGGAGCTGCGGCCCGGGACCACTTCGGCCCCCAGACCTGTCCTGCCCAGGGGCAGCTCAGAATCGCTCCACCCCGCAGGTGGCCAGGCAGCGCCCTTGGTCGGAAGCCACCTGCTGGTCCTGCGGGGGAGGAGGTTCTTGGCTGGGACTCAACGCCAGGGACAGAGGCGCCACCACCGTCCTCTCCCTCCCTCCAGGGAGACAGCAGGAGCCCGGCCCCTCAAAGCTCCGGCTCCCCGCCCTGCTCCCCAGCTGCGCCTCCTCTCCAAGTGGAGGACGGATGAACTAACTCCTGCGGGTCGGGCGCGGAAACATTCTCCGGAAACACCAGGAACGGAAACCAGACGCTGCTCCTCCTCGGCAAGAGGTCTGGCTGCACCCGGCGAGCCCTGCCCGGGTCTCTCCTGAAGCCTCGGAACGCCTGTCCCGGCGGCTGCGCGTCGCGGCTGCAGGTCCGGGAAGCGCCGCCCGGCCGGGCCCGGCCCCAGACCTCGGGAGCCGAG